AGGTATCTAAAATATGAAACAAACTTTGTTTTGCTTAATGCTTTTTTGCTTAAAAAAAGTTTTGTTTGGTAAGTTTGAAGTCTGTGCTGTTAATCTACAGTGTGGCAAAAAAACCTTAAATGTGAAGGTGTGTCCAAACCTTTAACTCCAGCTCTCACCTGGCAACATTCCTGCCTCTTGCTTAAAAATCAAGTTTAATTTGGCACAGAGTCACTGCTGTTTAACTTCCTGTCAGACATCCCCAAACATCTTTCACACCATACCGATGACGTTATGTACTTCTGTTTTTAAACTTGCTATAGATATATCACTTTAACTTTTATCATTTGGTTTTAGGTTATTTTATATTATTGTTATTTATATTTCAGATTTACATGAAATGATACATTAGCTAACTTATTGGCTGGGCAATCTATCAAATCTATCAACCCTGACTCTGAGACATGTGCCATCCCTGGACCCCAGGTTTATTCTTTTAAGTGTAATCACCACAGACAGCTCCTTAAATGAGAAAGATCGCGGGAGGTACAGCAACAGAAGGAATGAGTACAGTGACCAGTCACTCTTTCAGTATACATGCGGACATGTGAGTGTTGTATTAAAACTTATGAACCTAAAGGTTTAAACAACTGGAAAGCAAGGCCAGTATTTCAGTAATGAGCAGATGAAAAACTTACAACATAAGGTCAAAATGTATTGTACATATGTGAAAAAACTAAAATAAATACTGACATTCAGTTGTTCACACAATTTAATGTAATCAAACATACACCACAAATCTCTTCCTGAAGGTGATACAGACTGATTTGTCTATAAACTCCATCCATGTACACTGACCACTATTTGGAGACACTGAAGAATGTCTTAAATAAGTCAGCTACTCAGGAATGAAATTGTCAAACTGTATCAAGTTTTCACACTGTTCCCCACTTCACCAGTCACTTTCCTTTAGAACCAGTTCAACCAGAACAGTCAGTCAAAACAATGTAGGCCCAGTGTCATAGTTTACATACCATGATCGAATCTATATGTGCCCTCATGTCAAAAGTAAAGCATGCATCAGGTGAGAACTTTAAAGGACCCAGATCTTTATTTTTTTTAACCCAGATATGTCCAAAACAGCAATAATTTCAGGCTGAAGAAAGAAAATATGACACACAAAGACACAGTACAATGTTTAGAAAACTTGGTTTAAAATTCTGAATCAACGTAGATTTAAGGCAGATTTAAAGTCCATGTAAAGTTGAATAAATGTGTTCTGAGTTGTCACACCATAGGAAAGTGTGTTATTAACCACCCAACCAAATTTGAATGATTAAAAGGATAATGATAATCACCTTTATTGGCCAAGTATGTTAGACACAAGGAATTTGTTTCCGGTACAGAACCGATGGCATCCATCTGTGGCACCACCTCAACGTAGGATAAAAGGATAGGATAAAAGTGTTAATTATTTCCATTGTGGCCTCATTTCTCCAATGTCTTTCTCCATTAGTCAATTAAAGGCTTGGTCTGGAAAAATAAACACCCACCACAATTACCCAAAGTGACTGTCATGGTGCTAGCCTTGTCCAATCACCAGTCCCATCCTCTACATTATAAAAAATAAATGACCACTGTTATTTATTTATTTTTATTTTTGTATGACGTTAATTGAAAAAAAAACACTTCATAGCCTTAATAGACTATTTAAACATCAAATCTTATCAAAAACTAAATTAGTAAATATTAACCTTGTTTTTAATAGCTATATGGCCACCCAGCGATGTTATTGATAGTTTAATTTATCTGACGTCATTTATTCAGCCAAACCACTGCAGTTCAATCGCCTTTAAGCAGCGTCTGTTTTCACGTTCGCCCTCAACCTATTTTGTCCTACTGAGAGACCCTTCAGTCTCCATGACAACACAGCTGCTGTCATAAGCTAACTCGCTAACTACAGATTGTTTTCAACTGCAAACAAGTAAAAATCTGGCCTTTTCTACTGTTTAGGACAAACCCCCGATCCTACCTTGAACGTGGTAGCGTTGCTATCCGTGACTCATTTATGAGAGTATAGGAACACACAGAACGGTAAGTTGTTACCAATGTTAGCTGCCGTTAAAATGAAATGGCTCCTCTGTAGCCTATTCTTGGCTTCATTCAGTAAGCGGACGATCCATCCAATCTGTCATTTTCTCAATATTCACACCGAGGCACTACAAAATACAAGCAACTTTGATACTTGAGTCCTTTTCACTGCTAATAGCGACCATAATAGTTTAGTTACTTGTTACTTCTGTAGGATCACTAGCATTAGGGGAAAATAACTACAGTATGCACTTGTACTCAAGCTGGTATCTCTTTTTTCTTAAGTTAAGTGCAATTCTGAGGTAGGATACTGTTACTTTTTAGGTTCTTTTTGTATTTTACTTGAATATTTAATTTTCTATTATATTCCCATAAATTTCAGAGGTAAATAACGTTACTTTTTATTCCACATATATGACAGGCTAGTTACTATACAAATGAAGATTTTTACATACAAAAAATATGAAGAGCTTATAAAATATGATGCAGTGAATCTGTCCAACAATTAAATAATAAAGTAAGTACAGATGAGATGATTAGTCTGTAGACAGAAAATTAACTTGCTACTGTTTTGAAGTAATTTTCATGTAAAAATACCAAACACTTCATGGTTCCAGCTTCTCAAATGTGAGAATTTGCCACTTTTACTTTTAATACAGTAGCTTTATTTAGGCTATTCTTAATAAGTTTAGTGTTTTGACTGTTGGTTGGACAAAACAAGTATTGTGGAGGTGTCACTTTCACCTCTGGGTAACTGTGACTGCTTTTCTCTATTTTCACAAACTTTGCAAAGCCTTTATATTAACCAGGGTTTAACTGTGTATTTTTTCCCTGTTAGAATTCCCAGAGATGTGAGCCTTGTAACCATTACAGATGTCGTCTCAGAAAGAGACAATGCAAGTAAGAAGTAATTCTTGTATAGTTTATTGATGTTGAATACCACTGATGTAATATCCCCTCAGCTTTACTCTGCTGGATGCACTTATTTATTTCGGTGATCCTGTTCCTCAGGTGCTGCCTATTTGGGAGCTTGCCATCCCTCTCCCAGCGGTGCTGATGATTACTGTGAGTTTTTACATGATCATCCTTGGAATTGGGCTGTTGATCCGATTCTGTCTCAAGGTTGGTACTGCTAACATAAAAAAAAGAGCAGTGAGGCCTTTGTCTTCACTATAGTTTGTAAAATGTAAATAAATATATGTTGTTTACTGCCACTTGCACTTAAATTAGAAGCCGGGTTGTGGATGGAAAGCTGCCTCTAAAACCTCTGGTTTTGATTTATAAATACCAATATGAGCATAAAATTCAACTCACCATTTGTTTTAGAATGTGAAAAGTTGTGGTTTGGGAACTGCACTGCACCAGACCCACAGTGCACTGCTAGGACACCTCTATCAAAGGAAATTTTTCTGAGGGTTTTTTCTCAGATGTTGTGGACATTTGGGGAAATGGCCAGGCCATAGGATTGGTTAACTGTCACTGCAGATCATCATATTTTATAAAAACACAATGTTATTCTATTGGAATAATTTTTTGGATGCTATAATCATATAAAATTATACACAAAGTGGCCTTAAGGGTTCAGAGTAGTTTGGTCATCTTAAAAATACAGGACAGTAAATTCTTATTACTTATATTATTGGTGGAGTTAACCCTTATCCTAACCTTTATTGTCATTGTAACATGTACAACAAAATTTTAGAGTGACCTCCAGTTGGTACAGCTATAGAAAAAACATAACGTATGAAAGAAGACCATATAAAAAAACATCACATATGAAAGAAGACCATATAAAAAACAGTCCAAAAAAAATGAAATAAACAACAGACCTCTCGCACCTCACCCCTCACACACAGGCATACATTTTAGCAGCATTGAGTGTGGTAATTGCTGTTGGGTAAAAACTATTCCTGAATCTAGTGGTCCTTGATTTGATTGCTCTGAACCGTCTACCTGATGGCAGCAGTTCAAAGAGTGAACGTCCTGGGTATTAAAGGCTCTATTCTATTATAAAGCCTCGTCCGGTTCTTTCAAACCAGGAACTCAGAGGGACGACTCAGACCACTTGAGTATATAAAAAATATAACCGTGCTGGTTTATTCAAAGAGTCACAGGCAAGAATTAACACTTCCAGTCCAGAGATCTTCCAACCCCCAGCCTGCCAAA